GGGGGGGGGAATGGCCTGGGTTTTTTTGCTCATTTCTGGTCTTCCTGCCCCCAGGAGCTTTCTAAAAGCTTCCATAAGGGTATGCATGGCCATTTTGGTGAAGGGGATGGGGCTTTAGGAGGCAAAAAATGCTCTATTCGATGTATAAGACACACCCAGATTTTCAGTCTCTTTTTTTGAGGAAAAATGGTGCGTCTTATACTCCGAAAAATACGGTAGCTAGTGTGAACTGAAATTTTCCAGAATTTTTTAGTAATCCATACTATAAGCAAATTCGGTATTTTTCTGTATCACAGAGGGCAATATTATTTTTTTTAGCAAATATAGGGATATACCAAGTAGATATACCAAAGACAATAGAAACACATTTTATGGATTCCTCTGTCCTAGTTCACTGCAGAACTATAAATTGTTTGATTCTTTCTTCTCTTCTGGCACCACATCTTATACCTTTCAAGAGGGCAGTGATAACTGTTTACTATGTTTTATTATATTAGAACATTTCTTTAAACATTATCTCATGAAAGACTGCAGCATTAAGAATTCAAAACCACTTTTCTGGAGAGTTCAACTGATTTCTTTGCTTTATAGTTTATAGTAGAGACTTCAGAGACAGCAATTCTAGTTGAAGATTGTGACTTATATTATGTATTATGTATGGCTACACATTGAATCTCTTTTTGTGTACTAAGAGTGTACAGCCTGGAACAATGCTGGTAGTTTAAGACATTCTACAACATACACATTTGTGAGATAAAATTTAGGCATCTGAGGCTTGTTTCATGGATTTTGGTAGGATTTGCTAAATATATTCCTTTGCCAACCTGCCATTAGATGTCCTAACATATCAGAGAATGCTATCAAATCTAGCAGAGGAAAGCAGGGTTTCCAATAACAACAATAATCCCTATTGAATAACATTAATAAACCCTACTGAAAAAGTGATGTAACAGATAACTTGAATATGTTTATATGTATTACTAAATTGGTCTTTTTTCCTTTAAAAATGCTAGAAAATTATGTTGTATTAAAATATATAGGGGATTAATTCCACTTTAAAATATTTATTAATTCAGAAAACAAGGCAACTGCGAAATGACCCTAGATTAACAGTGATAACTCTATTTAGCCGTGCATAAATTTGAATTTCTTGGCCATTGTTGGTTTGCTTTTGTTTAACAGCTTGCATATATATTTCTATTCAGAAAAAGAAAAAGAAGAAAGAAAAAAAGAAGCAATAGAAATAAAAGTTAGATGTAATGGCTAAGATCCATAATAGCTGACTCATGGAACTGAGTTATTGCTGTACTAAAAGTTTTAGATAGCCTCTGTGTCCAAAATGTACACTTACTGCTTCTTCAGCCTTGTCAGTTGACCTTTCAATGTGTGGGCACACACTGCCCCGGGGGCAGCAGCATTGGCAGGGCAGACACGGCAGTATGCTATTTAGTACCCCCATCTCTATTGTCTTTATCTCAGGTAGCAACCCAAGATGACACTCTCATTGTATTGGGTGAATGTAAATGTCACTGTACTTTATATGTGAAGGCCAATCCACAAACAGTCATATTTCCCCCTTCACATGGTGCTCTGGATGCTCCTGGTTTTAATTTGAAAACAGACATCCAAATCCTATTGTTATAATCAATATGATTTTTTTCTCTTGACAATATTTAGGGGTGATGGTTATTTTTATAAAAAAAGCAAGACAAACCAACTAGTCAGACTGTTGTAATTTGGTCAACCACACGGGTACTATCCATATCCACCATTTCAACACATTCTATTTCCTCCCGATTCTCAGGAGTTTTCTTCTCTTTCCTTTTTTTCTTTGACGGTGGCAGAAAAGTTAGTATCACAGGTAAAATGGCAAAGCAATGAAAGAAGGTGACTAATGCTATCAAAAACAAGCACCTGAACAGTGTACGGGTCAGATTTGAAGGCACAGTTGCGAGAGGAATCAGACCAACAATGTAGCAGAGATAGCTCTGTAAAATCGCTACCCCGTGCATTTCCAGGGCATTCTTTACCCATTTAGTTCTTGTGAAATCTTTGCCCAGGACAAATGTTGACAAGAGAGGTGCACAGTTGTCAACTGTATAATTAATTCCATAAATTAAACATAACACAGAAATACAGTCCAGCTCAACTTTCCACAGGGTCATAAAACCTATAACTCCAAATTCAACTGAGGCAACAGTGAGTGTGAGCCATACATTGATGAGAGAATCTGCCACTAGGAATGCAGAGAAGAAGAGCAGGAATAAAGCACTAATACAGGAGTTCTGCAAGGGCCCCCCCACATAGGAGGCATAACGATCCATGTAGACAAAGGATGGGTTGAAAACAATGAACTTCACTTTAGATTTGAGAGACAGCTTTCGTAAAGTTTCCAGGAGGGGATAGAGCTCTTTTCGTTTGGTATCCATGGTCTTAGCTACCAAGAACATTCGAGAGGCCACCACTTCAACTTTATTATTGTATTTTTTGGAAAAAATGACATCCTCTGAAAAATGGGCATATTGGGGAGCTTTCAGAAAGGAGTTCCTCAGCATATCAGTAAAATTCTTTTTAGATAATCCAGTTGATATGTTGAGTTTTCTCAGATAATTCAAATAGCTCTCAAACCAAGATATCCTTACAAACCCCTTAGTATACTCTAGCATGTCATCTTGAACAGTCACATTCCAATATTCTATTGATTCATAAATATAAAACCCAATGACAGGGCTGTAATTGCTGAAGTACTTCTGCTGAGCAGCAGTATACTCCATGGTTTGTGTCGCAGTTGCTACAATGTTACTGAGGTCTGACTCTTCGCTGACCTGCAAGTAGCCCATTAAGGCAAAGGAAATATAAATAAGGTAAAAGAGAACTACAAAAGGCTTGACATATGTGTTTGTTATCCAGTCACAGTAATAACGCTTGAGGAAACACACCAAAAGGTGGCTTTCATAACTGTTCGTTTCCTCAGACTCTGCTGTATCCTCACTAAATTTGGCTGTCAGAAGAAATCTATACCAAGCAGGCTTCTCTTGCAATACCTCTGGTTTTGGTACCTTTCGGCAGAAGATACTATGCTGGTAGTTGTTTTCTATGTAGCCAGTAAACACGAGGCTGGAACCATAAAAGGAGAGTACATAGAGGTAGTTGAAGAAAATTGCAATACAAGAATTGCAGCAGAAGATCCTGGCTGCTTCAATGTTGGTGAAAGGGCTGGCACCAATCCCGAAAGTCACGAGATACATGGCAGTGGTGAGAGAAAAGGAGAGCATGGAGTCTGCGAACACAGCTGCAGTTCTCTCTTTTACATGTTGGTCTTCTCTAGTTTTCCTCCAGGAGGACAGCATTTCAAAAGTTCCATATAATCCGTGCCCTGGAATGAAGAAAAGAGCAACTGTAATGCTGTTATATAATTAAAATTTGCAGGTGACTCCTGCAAATGAGACTATAGCTAATTGTGCATTGCATGACCTGGGTAATTTAGGAAGAAATTGTCCTGGTGTAGGCAAATGTTCATATACAATGACATGAAAGTTATTTTTAAAAATAGAACTACAGTACGGTAATTGATGGTAATAATCTGTGCCAGGAAATTTGTAGCCAAGAAGAATTATGCTAACAAGTTATCTAATTAAAGCTAAATTATACATTGTGATGATTTAAGAGTAACCAAAATTAAAGAAACTTCAGTAATATTTTATTGATAATGCAGCTAAAGAGAAAACTTAAACATGAAGTCTATGTTATGGGATGCAATGAAGATTAATTTGAGCCATGGCATAAATATTTTTTTTCTCATTTGTTTTCTTTGATAAACATGCTCAGAAAAAGCCTTGTGGATGTTGTCAAAATGTACAGATGGATTTTTTCACACAATGAAAATGCTTATGCAAGAGCATAGTTTGGCATTAATGTTTGAAAATGGATATAGCTTCATATGATTTATATAACTATGATATCTCAATATTTATTTTCAAAAATAGATCAAGGTGCTAGATTCTGCCTCAGCACCAGAGGTGGTTTCCTATCAGTTCGGTCCGGTTCGGCTGAATAGGTATTAAATATCTGGCATACCTTTCCAAACTGGTAGTAATGGCAGCCTGGCCAGGCCCCAGAACTGGTTCTCCCGGCGGCGCCATAGGCACCACCATCTTGGGGTTTGCTTCTGCGCATGTGCAGAGCAATTGTTATTGCACTGGTTGGCCCCACCCACTCCAACGCTCACCCTGCCTCACCTTCACCATGTGGATCCACAAAATTGCCTCCTCCTTGTCTCCTGCCTACACGCAGGCAAGCAGCATTTGAGCTAGCATAACTTTTTAAAGCCTTTTTTTCCTGCTGGTTTGCCTGAATGGGCAGGAAAAAAAGGCTTTAAAAAGTAAAAAAAGAAAGCTTCTGACAATCGCGGGGCTCAGCTGTGAGGTGCGGAATAGTCAAAGCTTTTTTGTTTTTTACTTTTTAAAGCCTTTTTTCCCTGCTGGTTCAGGCAAGAGAAAAAAGGCTTTAAAAAGTAAAAGAGAGAGAGAGAGAGAGAGAGGGTGGGGAGGGAGGGAGGGAGGGAAGGGAGAAATAAAGAGAAAGATGAAAAAAGAGAGAAGAGTTAGAAGGAAACTCACTTTTCAGCCGGGAGATTCAGCAAACAAGAAAAACAAATGCTGTCGCTTTAAATTGGAGTCTCCAAACTGAGCATGACTGGCTGTGGAATTCTGGGAGTTGAAGTCAACAAGTCTTAATGCTGCAAACTTTGGAGACCCCTGCTTTAAATTGAAAAGCTGCTCCAAAGGAGGTTTTTAATTGCAGAAACAAAGCGACATTCAGCAATTTGTTTCTGAGTCAAACTGGATAAAAGGAAGAATTCTTATATGGTTCTATGTTTTTGAAGTTTTGGAGTTTGTGCAATATGGGCATTGTGTTTCTAAAAGGGTTTGGATGATTCCCATTGTGGCTAAATGACTTTCGTCCTGTGTTGGATCTTGAGTGTGGGTGTAATGGCTCCTCTCCTAACTTGAGAAAGTAAAGACTCTTGAAACGGATTATTTCAAAAGGAACCTTTAATCAAGCAGGATGGAAACTATTAAAAGCAAAGCAGCATCTGAAANTGGAATTTTAATAATTGTATCTTATTTTTTAACTTTTAAATGTTTCTTTTTACCTTGCCTGTAAGCCGCCCAGAGTTCCAAGGGAGTGGGCGGCATACAAATCTTATTAAACTAAACTAAGTTAGGAGAGGAGCCATTACAGCATCATTTATGATTCTATTCCACAATTTCTTAGTGTAACTATTCTCCTGCAGTGAGTTGTCCCATAATGAGTGAGCCATGGCGAATTGTTTCATGGTGAGTTGACCATGCTGAGTTGGCTGTGGTGAGTTGTCCTAGACCTAACTCCAGACAGCAAAAATTCACTATTTCTGCTTAACTAGACTCTCAGTTTCATCTTACTTTGCTACTGGGAACAGGAACGCAAATCTTCCCTTTCACCCATGGACATAGCTAGCTAGAAGGATCAGGGCAGTTTGTGAAGCTTGCTTGGTTCTTTCTTCTATCTCCATCTTTCTAGGGCTTGTTACATGAAGTTGCTTCTTTACTTTGATCAATAGGGCTGGTTCTGACATTTAGAAATATGTTTGACTTTTACAAAAGTGTTTAGGGAATATAAATGTCTATATCAGAGGCCCAACAGGTATCCTGACATTATATAATATCTGTGTTTTTAGTCCTTTGGTTGTGTGGCGAAATCAGTTTGGTTGTGTGGAGAAATCAGTTAATTATTGAATGAAAAATCAGTTTAGCCAGATTGTAAGCTGCATCAAATTGATGCTACCGAAACATAAGTAATGCAGCTATACTCTAACAGTCTCATATGGTATTTTTGGCAGTCACTTTTCCATATCACAGCAACAATCTGCATAACCATCAAACACTCATTAATAGATGCATGGAGCATTTCCGTAGTAGCAGAGTCTTGTGGTAAACATCTATATGGGCTATAGAAAGCATTTTTTTTAAAAAAAAATGAAAGTGAATACATTATGACTTAAGATACAGCCTACAAAATAGCTCTTGGTTTTCTCTTTTGTTATTTTGAGATGGGTTTTCACAGCAAATAGTAACATTTCCAAATGTTCCAGATAAAGTAATATAGTTTTGCTAGTGTTTTCTGATTGACTGGGGCAGGGAGTCACCCTTAGCAAGTGAATAAATATAGAATGTGCAGAACAATAATCCAGTGGCACTAGAAATAGTCTTGACTTGTGGAGCTTCCCAGGATACAAATAGAATTTGGCATATATCACTGTAACATTAGCTTTGTTGGAATATATTTAATCTTTTACAGGTGTCTTGTTTCATTTAGTAAAATGGTTGGGATTTGGAAAAAGACATCCATTTGTTTTTGCCAGAGAGCTTTTCTTCTAGTTTCACAGCTTTTTGTATTTTTCTGATTTCTACTGTTTACAATAAAATGCTGGGCATGCATTTTAGATATGGCTCATTTATAGTGAAATCGTTCCAATTACTTCATTCCCCCCACTGTTTCATTCTAAGGAATATCCAAGACAGACTTGTATGAATTAACTTGCTGGACAGAGTAAAGTAGGTTTGTTTTTTTCCCTTTGAGAGTAAAAAATTATTGCTCTGATCAGTGCATTATTTGGCTAAATGAATTATATTTCAGTAAACATAAAATTATTGTAAATACCTTTTAGGATTTCGGCTTCAAAATGTAATCAATTTTCACATGCATATATTCTTTGACTTATAGACACACCCAAAATTTTCATTGCTAAGCAAGACAGTTGTTAATTTGAGTTATTTTATTATCTTTATTGCCACTGTTGTTAAGCAAATCACTGCAATTTTTAAGTGAATCATATGGTCTTTAAGAGAATCTACCTTCCCCTGCTGTCTTTGCTTGTCGGAAGCAGGCTGGGAAGGTTACAAGTGATCACATGACCCCAGGACAGGCATAAGTACACGCCAATTGGCAAGCGCTTGAATTTTGATCATGTGACCATGGATGCTGCAATGCTTATGTGAAAATCAGTCATAAGTCACTTTTTTCAGTTCTGTTGTAACTTGGAATGGTCACTAAATGAATTAGTGTAAGTAATGTAACCTGTTTATCCTGTGTCCACCTAAACTCTGTGGACACACTACAGCAGCGCTGTAAGAATCTCATTCAATAAGGAGTTCAGTTATGCACATCTTTATAGTCTAAATATGAGAGCCAAATTTAAAGTACTTTTATCATCCAGTTTAGGGATAATATATAAGCAAGAAGAAAAATATAACTGAACATTTAAAAAAATTAATATAAACTTACAAATTTGTGGGCAAACAGTGAGATTTTACCAGAGCTTGCTATGTGGTAAGATAAGAAAAAAAATCACATTATACATGAAGCTGTTATGCATTAATTTAAATTTGTTCTAAAAGAAGACAAGTAATAGATACCATTGGACCTGAATTTATCAATTGGGAGCAAAGAATTAAATTCCTTCAACTAGTTTGTAGTCTCAAAAGCACATTTAGTTTTGATAATTGTGAATTTCAAGAAATTTCTCAAGACAATTTATATGGCAGTAGCTACTGCGTATTTTACAGATATTTTATCTGTAGCAACTTGCCAACCTGAATGCTGGGAGAAGAAAAATGCTGTGATGGTTTTCATATTGGGAAGAAATAAGGTTTGGCAGGAATAAAGCTGCCCCCCTTTGAAGAAAATTCTCTGATAAAAAAACAAAACATTTTAACTTTCTACTATAGTAGATATTTCAGAGGCTAACAACAATAGAAGAATCTGTTTATTATAAAAATGGAATAAAAATGCTAGAAGATCTATCTGAAAATGAATAAAACAAATTCACTGTGCGCTATTTTTTCTTGCAAATGATTCAGTGTGCTTATCCTCACTGTTTGTCCACTCACTAGATTGCTGAAAAAGCCCTGTGATATAGAAAAGTTCAAATATATTTGAATTACAAGCTTGTCAAGTTCTTGATATACCTTTGGTAAGTTATTTTAATGGAGTATTTATAGTAATGGAACACAAAAGCTTATTCCAGTTTTTTTCTTCTAGTCCCCCCACCCCCGCCCAATCCCATTGGTGTCAGATGCACCTTTGAAGCACTTCCAGGATGAAATAATTAGTCAGTGACATCACAGTTGCCCAGGGGATGCCCTCGGGGGCTCCTTTCATGTTCTCACCAAGGAGCTGGAGTGAATGATGGGAACTCACCCTGCCACACAGCTGCAGTGAAAATACTATTGGAAAATAATCTCTAGAGATTAACCACTTTAGTTCCTCATCTGCTACGTCAAGGGTGTCAAACTCGATTTTACTGAGAGCTGTATCAGGGTTGTGTTTGACCTT